GTGGATCAGGATCCATGCACATGTTAGCTAATTTAATATAACATTCAGGAGTTCCAAGTGCAAATTCAGGGCGCAACCCATTGCAAATACTTAATGCAAGTTCAATATCAAATTGATAACTATCAAATGGTCTTTGTCCAGTTGACATTTCTGCCATAATAATACCAAATCCATAAATATCTGCTGCTTGTACAAACGTATGGCCTGATAAAACTTCAGAGCAACATAGGGCATAACTCCAAAAACATCGCCCTTTGGCACCTAGACCACTAGGCTATGGGACTTTAACTGACTATTTTATAATTATTAATATAATATATATATAATAACACAAAATTATAACGATCTTGTGACTCTGTGATTAGATTTAAATGTTTTTAGACTTGTTAGAATCATCTCACTGAGATAAAAATTTTGGTAGTTAAATTATCCAAAATGGACCAGTAAAACAAAAGCTATTTAATTGGTGATCTATCAGTCAACCAGAGAATGATCATAGTAAAATATGACTCAAATTACTTATAAAAATTGGGAGTTTTCAAATGTGGCGTGCATGCATCTAAAACTTTTTTTTATACTAAGTTAATCACTTTTCTAACTTAAGAGACTTTTGTAGAGCTTATCAAGACACATCTAATAGTCAAAATCAGCTTGGTGGATGACGAGATATCTTTAAAAAATATTTCTTTTACTATGTAAACTTCTTTGCAAACAATACTATTGTTTGCAAAGAAGTTTACATAGTAAAAGAAATATTTTTTAAAGATATCTTAGCATTCACCAAGCCGATTTTGACACTCTAACTACTATTAAATGCGCCTTGACAAGCTTTACAAAAGTCTCTTAAGTTAGAAAAGTGATTAACTTAGTATAAAAAAGTTTTAGATGCGCGCACACCACATTTGAAGACCTTTAATTTTTATAAGTAATTTGAGTCACATTTTACTATAATCATTCTCTGGATCACCAATTAATTTATTATTTAATTAATATATTTGACTTGTACAGATTTATAAGTATTCATTAAAACAATTTTATATTAATTTAGTTGATATATAAATTAATCAATATAGCAAACTAAATGTTCTAAGATGTGAATACATTTTTAAAATATTTTATATAAAATTAAAAACTAAATACTGTAAATAAATAAATTACTAAATTAAAGAATGATATAAATAAAATATTATTACAATTTTTTAATAAATAGTTTAAAACAAAAATCTATTGTTTTTTCATTATGCTTCGAATCTAGGTTCTAGAATCATCTAATTGACAATCATCACTAAATAAGGTGTGATCGTCAATGACCAAATTCGGTATATTCCCTGACTGTAATTTGCAACCTAGAAGCATAATTGCTATACTATCGACTTATAGATTTTAAAATTAAAAATAAAATTTTAAATAAATTATATTATATATTTAAAATACTATATACAGTTAAACTTCTTTATAATCACACACTTAGGATACAAAAATATGTGATTGTAAAGAAATGTAATAGCTATAGAGGTTAAATTTATTCTATTTAATAATAATTTATTTTTAAAATTATATATATAAAGAAAATATATTTATATAAAAGTTGACCTAACTGTATAGTAGTAAATTTCACCCCAGTAAATACTAGAAATAATTTATTTAATACCCGGGTGAATTATTCACCCCCTTTAAGTCCAAAATGAAACCCAGCCATATTAATGTATTAGGGTTAGGGTTAGAGTTAGGGTTAGTTTTTGGGTTAGGCTAGGGTAAAATTGCGAGAGGAACATTTTTCATTAGTTACACAACAGGGTTACTCTAGTAAAATTTTATGATATCATAATGTGGGTGAGGAATATCAAGCATCACCCTGGGTAAGGAATAAATATACTCTAAATACTAAATACTGTAATTTTATTATTTTAATAACATTTAAACTAGTTTAATTTAAATAAGGTAAAAATTCCTGGCAATTGTTAAAGGTGATCTGACCTCTCTGGCAGTTGGTGTGGTGGTCGCATTTGACTACTTAATGAAGTAGAGAGTGATGTTAGGCTAGGTTTTCCAGGTGAACTTTCATAAACCCTTTGGGTCAGTGGCCTGTTAGGGCCATCTAATAATAAAAAGGAAGTATAAAAAAAAAAAATTTGAATAATATTAATTATCCGGCACCTTACTATAATCGTACCAACAAAATAACTCGAGTTATTTTGATGATAATTGCATCATCAAATAACTTCGTTATTTGATAATGACGCAATCATCACCAAAATAACTCGAGTCATTCTGTTGGTTCGGTCGTCGTAAGATGCCTGATAATACCGTTATTGAATGCTACTCAGCCAATAACTTGTTTATCTGGCAGTGAATTTAATATGTCATTTCTGGGCCCCTTCGGCACAGAAGCTGACATATTAAACTTAACAGCCAGATAATGAAATTATTTTACAAATAATTTCCGTTATTGGCTGCTTCGGCATCCAATAACTCCATAGTATTCAATTCTTTGATTTAATAAATTAATCAGCAAATTTATTTATTATTCGTCATGTGAAACTTTAGTAATTGGCTGCTTCACATATAGTAACTATATATATATGATTAACTGCTTCATATCTAATAACTATATGTTATTCGAATAAATGTACTTATTCGAATTCTGTTAGTCATTCGGCGAATATTCGAATAGTATTTGCCGATCTAAATTATTCGAAGATTATTATCCATAAGCTCTACTGGAACACTCCTCGTTTGACGTAAGGAGCGTCATTAATAGTAAATATCAAAAACCAGCTCAAATTGATATGAATTTAAAATTTAATCTCTTTGAGACGAGAGACTTTAAATTGTTAAACTTCCTACACCATTGCAAAAATTAACTAACTGATTGATAAAAATTGTGCTAAGTGTTAAGCTACAATATATTTTTTTTTTTACAATTAAAAATTCTTAAAGTTGCAGATTTAAACTACGTATTAATTGACGCCAAAAAGTAAGTAAACATCACCTATTTTATTTTTGTAACACATCAATGATACTCAGTCATGTTGTGTCGTACATTTATTTGTTATTGTAACAAACCTGCGCATTCACTCGAAATTTCATTCAAGTTTTCCCGAAATAGCCTAATATGGTGTACTACATTAGTATTATCAATAGAGAAAAAAAAAAAAAACCATAAAAAACTCCCCTACTCTGTACTGTAAACCGTAGCTTAACTTTCATTTGTTACTTTAAACGGAATTCCTCTGAAAATTAAATTCTTTAAACCTCAACATTCGAATATTTTACTTCGTTATTCTCTAAACGATAACAAGAGCAGCAAAATGGTATTGATAGAGAAGCGAAAAAAAGGTCGTTGGACAGCTGAGGTGAATATTGATTCCTTATTTGTTAAAAGGGATTGATGCTAAACACCGCCGTTTGAAGCTTCTTGATCCTTTCGTGAGTGAGATAATATCTATGCTTGTGTAAATTATATTTAAATGTTAAAGACTTTACCTTTTGCACAAAACACCCACTATTAACGTAGTGATGTTCCCCAATAACGGTTTCGAATTTATTTGTTCACCCAAAAAAAAAAAAAATTGTTTATGTTTTGAATGCTATCTAAAATAGGAGGACAAATTATTAATGCAAACTATAGAAGAAGAACCTGATCCGGAGAATCCAAATTGGGCTAACATTGAAAGGAAATTTGCTGGAAAAAGAAGTACGAAGCAAATTAGAGAGAGATGGTCCAGCCATCTTGCTCCATCAAGTAAATATTTGGCTCTTTTGTAAAATTAGTTTTAATGACTGTTTCATAATTATCACTAATTGTATCCCATTATTTTCTGAACGTACGATTATGCAGTCGAAAAACGACAGTTTAACGATGACGAACGAAAAATCATTGATGAAGAGTTCAAAAAAAATAAATTTAAATGGGCCAAAATTGCATCGAAATTAGAGAATGCTACACCTCTAATGGTAAAAAATTTTTGGAATAATAGGCTTAAGAAAAGACCTATTATTGTTAGACATTCCGCAGATTCCTCTTTTGCGGAACCGTCTACTCCAGTTCAAGGGTTTTCAAGTGGACCAGGTTGGCTCTTAAACTCAACAACTTTTGTTATTATTTAAATACATTTATTTAACATAAAACTCTTTCTAGAGTTTGCAGGTTTGGTTACTCTTGCCCGTGTGGCCAGCATGGCATGTAGTACTACAAGCTCTGGGGCAAATCCAAAGAAACGTTCCAAGCGCATGTCTTTTTCCTTCCTTCTTAATAAGTAAAATTTAAAAACCCACCTTAATTATAACTTCAGAATGAATAAGACCGCCTAATAACGTTGGATAATATAACAAAACTTATTGGAGACGTGAGAGACAATGATTGACTTTCTTAGTAGGTTAAGGTTATAAATAATAATCTTTGGATTTTTTTTTTCTTTTTTTTTTTTTTTTATTAGACTATTACTCTATCAATATCGTATATATTATTATGAGAGTATATCTGGGTACGCCGGAGCCTAGTCATAATACAAAAATTTGAGTTCTGTGAAACATTAGAGTTACTTCTGCTCCATTTTCCGAATACCATATTACTATTTTTATATAATGAAAAATTTTTTTTATCTATTTGCCACTCTGGCTTTGGTGATCTAATTTCGAGTGAAAGTTCTAGTTTGGACATTTTCTTTCAATTTGCATTAATTTTCTTTAGCATTTTTCATAGTCAATTAGTCAGAAATTAACACTATTCTTTTTTCATGTTCACGTAAGGATATTGGTCTTTACCGTTTCATCTATCGCATTAGTAGATTAAAATTTCCATATAGGTCACAAGTTCTTTTGGTAGATAGATAATTTCTGCTTCATCACCTTGACTATCTAATAGGCCTCTGGAATTTGTTAAATCTACAAAATTTTTCATCACTTTCAATTACAAAAATATTGTATATTCGTGGTTGGTGATGTTTGTATTAAACATGTATTAATAAACTTTTTCTGCATATATATTTTTTTAAAAAAACGTTTCATCGGACAGGTCACATTCAGTGTAAAAAATTCAGTTTGAGAAGTATGTGCGCACTCATATGATCACATGCTTTCTTCATATTAAAATAAGAAAATTTCATGTGCGATCCGCACATGCGCACATCGAATTTTTCTTACATTTTAATACTCATCGGAGGTGAGGGTGTTATATCTCAAAACCGTATTACGGGATCGGATATTCTAAGTAAAAAATGTTCAGGACCCTCGAAAACCTCACGTGAACTGAAATTGGAACCTTATAATCTACATTATGTTAATAAAACTTCTTTATCTTAAAACTGTACTCTAACTCTAAAATTATTTCTAAATATATATAATAATATACTAATAAAATAGGAAAAATGCATTTGTCGCACCCCGGTTACATGAGATTTTGTCACGGGTCACATGACATTATTAATAAAAGCAATTATAAGTCTGAAACAGTACGTACATATGTAGTACGTACGTACGTACGTGTATTTTTGCCTTAATTTCTGCTTTGTGCCACCAGCACAAATAAGTAAACACCTGGCCCCGATCTTGTATACGTAGTACCCGCAAGATTTTACACAAGTAAACCCCTAGCGAACCTGCATAGTACCCGCAAGATTTTTTAGGCTCCGCTAGTCAAGTCTAATAAATATCAAATTCGGGTCCTAAAAATCATGTAATGTAAATAAAGAATTAAACAATGAGGTTATTATGACGACATTTATGAATATATATATAAAGTTGCTCAACGGGATAATGTGCTTCTTTTTCTTGCGTACTTTAGTATCATGAAAGTGTATGTTTTTCTACTCTAGTTCACGAAAGTGTATATTTTTCTACTCTAGTATCGTGAAAGTATTTTCCTTCTTCGTTTAACTTTTTAAAAAAAAAACCTTGAAATTAAATATTGTGTACGCGTTAAAGTGTTACTTTAAAAATGGTGAGAACCGAAATAAAAAATGATATGAATAATTTGACTAATAGTGATGTCAATAATGAGACTAATGATGAGACGTTCGTTGATAATAATAATGAGAGTAATAATGAGGCTAATGATGAAACGTTCGTTGATAATAAGAATAGCATGGCCAATAATGAAAATAGTAACAATAACGAAACCAATAATGAGGCTAATGGCTTTCACGAAATTATTAATGAGGGTACGTCTTCATATGATTTTATCTTAATAATACTACATATCAAGTAACAATTTTTTTTTTCTTTATATAGAAGCAACATATAATTTTTCCATGCTGAGGGTTGGTTACACATTCAAAGAATGGTGCGACGTCGATTCTTTTTTTAAAGCTTATGGTCAATATTACGGGTTCGCTATAATTAAAAAAAGAGTTGAGCGTAGTAATGGACTAATAAAATCTCGAACTTTCGGGGGAAAATATAATCCAAAAAAAAATATTGATATTAATACCCATAATAACCGACGATCAAAGCGCCAAAAATGTCAGTGGCACATAAATCTGAACTTCTCTAAAGATATTAACTGCATAGCAGTTACAACGTTCGTCGATGATCACAACTATGAACTCCATTCAGAGGCCTGTAAATATAGCTACCCCAGTAAGACCATGAAAGATCGTCGCTGATGCACCAATTAGAATCTATGATGATCTAATTGAGGGTCCGTCAGTGATCTAATTGGCTCTAACAGCGCCTCCGACGTACAGGCAGGCACAACCGGCACATTTTCCTATCACGCCCGTAACACATAAGTGCGACACACCTATACAAAATGCGATTTACCAAAAT